AACAGATTACCTTTCACAAATTGGGATAAACCGTTTTGTCCTGGGACAAGGTGCAAGCCTGCAGATGTCCATGTCTGCTGCCCAGGATAAATCCTAACAAAGTTTCCTGGATAAGAGGTAGTAACATTTTATCCCAGGATATTGCCAAGTGCACCTGTATGGTTATCCTGGGATGTCATTGTTAAATCAATGACTGGAAAGCAGCACTGCATTCAGCCGCTCACTAAACCCTGATTACACGACTGAAGTGTATACATGTCAATCCAGGATGTTTTTATCTCAGGAGAAACCTAGGCACAACTTTTACGGGGACCAATGCAACTTCTGCGATTAGACTTAGAGGTTCACTGCATTTAACCCTGCCAGATAATGGCCCACTTTCTCACCTCTGTTGCATTGTGGTTTTGAGGTACCCAGAAAGATGCCTTTCAGCAAACCCCAGCTTTCAGTTACATCCTCCCACTTTAAACTGCTGTTCCCATGCCAGTGACTTCAACAGTTGCATTAAGCCTTAGAAAATGGTCCCCTTAGAGCCCCCATAGCAGTGTGCAAGCTCTTGGCTGTGCCAGCTACTGTCTCACAAGGCAAATGTAGGCAGGGAATGGGCTCTGCTACCAAGCCTTCCTCTGCAGCTTGCTCCAGACAAGGCTTGCTGAGCTGCTCTGTTTTGGCTTCACCGCTAAGGTGGCCATCGAGGTACCTCAAGAATAGAGGACAGTTGTATTTAGTGCATTTTTTTTAAACTAAATTTAGTGTTAATTCATAATAACCACATCTTTTACTTGCGCATTTTGAATTAAGGGTGATGCCAAAATGATGTTGAAGACAAACGTTGAATGGCAGCAAGCAACAGTCGTAATGTAAGGATGTCATTAGGAAGCATGACAAATAGGATCTTTATTGGCATTCACAGGACCAATGCAAACACGGGATTAATTAAATGGCATATATATTAACTAATGAAGACAAACAATCTGAAGTTTAATTGTGTGTTGAAAAATAGAGGACATCGAGGCATCCAGTTTTGTATCAACAGAGGACAGAGTAGCAGAAAACAGGACAATCCTCTATAAAAAAGGGCGAATGGCCACCCTATCACCACTCCTGGCACCTCTCCAGGCTGAGGGCTGCTCCCCGATATATGGCTTCGAGGCTCTGGGAGCTGCTCCCCGCCCCCACGCTGGGTTGGCACCAGGGGCTCTCCAGGGTTCGGTTCCCTGTCCATGCTCCCAGGAACCTGGGACAGGGGGTAATAGGGGAGGAAATGGGGAACCAGGGCTCAGCCTGGGTCAGAGCCTTTCCAGTGGGTGCAGTCCCTGCTCTGGGCCTGCACCAATCCCATGCACCAGAGGTGTTTTGTCACCCGTTACCAGGCAGACCTGCTGCCAGGAGATCCCAGGGCCGGACTCTTGGCTGATTTCTGCTGCTGTATCCTTGCCCTGGGGCTCCCGGCACTGGGGAGAGACGCTCCTCTGCTGGGGGCACCAGTGTCCCTTCCGCTCCAAACACCCCAGCGGTGCTCCCCCTAGACTCCACACTGTGGTCAAGGGGTTCCCAAGTGCCAGACTCTGCCAGGGGGTTTCCCCAGTGCTGGGTGCACAGGGACCCCCTTGCCCTGCTCCTCCTCCAGACCTGAACCTGCCAATGCCACCCCCTCATCTCCTACCCCTCAATAGCCCAGGGAAGCACCTCCCTTCTCACCACCCAGTTATGAGTCCATGTTTAGTTACTTTCCTCTTTGAACCCACAAAACCTCAATGTCCCCCCAGGAGTGTGGATTGAAACCAAAGCCTGCTGGTCCACAGGGTGCAGTGGAGACTCACAGGGGGAATATCCCCTCCCGAAACCCCCTGGGGTGACTGAGTCCTAGACAGGGACTGGAAAATCATGGGGCCGGGCCAAGCCAGGGGCTCCCGTCCCTGCCCAGAGGGCAGGTTCTGCTCAGCTGGATGTGGGCCTGGGATCCCCTGCTGAAGTCCTTCCTTCTCCTGTCTCCTGCAAGTGAGTGTCAGACTGGGGGGAGCGGGGTGTCTGCGTTCCACGTCATGAAGGTTGTGAAATACAAAAAGCTCATCTCCTTCCCCAAAGCCCTGGACTGCCAGGACCCCAGCTTCCCCCTGCAGTGCCATGCTCCCCAACAGGCCCCTCACCAGCCCCCTCACCAGCTCCTGGTGGGAGTTTGTACAGGCTCAGCATGTGGAATGAGGGTGCTCCACTTCCCCGCTCCCACTCCTGCTCCAACCATTGGTCCAGGTGTCCAAGACCCTATACTGCAAGTGGCTTTGACCACCCTGGTGCTCTGCATGGCCAGCTGGGTGCACAGGGCCAGCTAGGCCCAGAGGAAACCCCATTCTCTATCCAGCTCCTCTCTTGGGGGCACTTGCACTGGGCACAAGGTCAGGCAGCTACAGGGATTTCAGGCTGGTGGGGACACATGCAACTCTCCCCTGGGCAGACAGCAGGGGCTGGGAGGGATCCGCTCATGGGAGAAATTCCTTGTGCTGATGAAGCGATGGCAGGGAGAGCAGCAGCCCAGAGGAGATGGACAAACTCCCACCAGACAGCAGGTACCATGGATGGGGCTCAGAGGAGATGGGACATGGGGCCCTGCCTTTCACCAGTCCCTACCTTGTCCCAGGGACCAAACCCCTGCAGCCCTGCACCCCTCTTTAGTCCCTTTGTGCACAGAGAGGTTGGGATTCCTCAGCGCGCACCCGTCCTGCCCACCCTCTGTGGCGGGCCAGTAGGGGGCGCTCCTGCATTGAGCCACCCACCTCCCTGCTCCCGACCACCTTCCAGGCTCCGAGTGCCTCCCTGGGGTGCCTCCCGT